GAGAGAGAGAGAGAGAGAAGAGAGAGAAAGAGAGATAGACAGATACACAGAAAGACACACACGCAGAGATGCAAACAAAGGCATAGACCAAGATTACTGAGTTTGAACTCGAAGGGACATTCTTTTCGGTCTCCCTGATTTTTTTCATGAGATGGGTGTTATTCATATTAGCCAACAATAGCCCCACTGAAATCCTCGACAGTGTCCAGTTTCTGAGTAATTTTTCTGTAGAAGTCTGAATACTTAAAGTCCTTGAAGACGGATACAAATGAAGCGGAGTCGATTGTGATAAACTTTGGACTTGCTTTTGTGAATACGCCCCATTTCATTGCGTTTTGGGGCATTGGCGAAGTTGGGTCTCCAGTTTTGGCGAAATTTGTCCACATCGTTAAGACTTGGTCGGACACGGCACGGTCTGCATCGTTGGGGACTCCACCAAGGAGCTGAGAGGCTTTGAGGTCAACTCCAAAGACGAAAGAAACGTCCTGAAAATGAGTGGCGTTTTGGTAGTTTGGTGCGTACGAGAAGCTTGGCCTATATTTGAAGTTGTAGAGGTAATGTTTCTTTGTAGAGTCTTTGTTGACAATCATTTGTATTTCATTGAGAGTTGCACCAATGACTGAGAAATCTGAACGCGCTCGTAATGTCTGAGCTCTTATGTAGAACGGATCAGACGAATTTCCGAGATACAAATTTGCCATTTCCCTGATTAGATTATCTTGATCTGTAAAAGCATACGGACGGAAAGCTGAGAGCAAGTTTTTACGGAACTCGTCTCGTGTGAGTCCGTTGTTATCGGGGTCGCTGATTGTCCCACCTTCCTCGTCAGCGGTATAGCCGTGGATGGTATCCACCTTGTTAAACTCGCCTCTCGCCAGCATTCTCACCGGCAGGTCCGGGAGGACTCCGAAGACGTTCTCCACTCTCGGACTCATCACCGTCCCGGCATCGGCGTTCCACGTCACGTTTCTGGTGGCGTCGTGGAGGAACTCGGCGTCCACCCTTCTGAGACAAGCCAGACGCTTATGAGCGTCCCACTGGGTGCAGCCCACGAGCCCACCTATCAGGTTTGTCATGATGCGCGGGGACATCCTCACAGCGGGATGGTCGACCACCCACGGGCTGAGGGACACACCGCTCTGCATAATCGCTCTGTGGAACAAACCTTTGCTGAGAGGAGACAACACTAACAAAGAGGTGGCGCCAGATCCAGAACTTTCCCCGAAAACTGTTACTTGATGCGGATCTCCACCAAAATCGGCGATATTTTCCTTAACCCATTTCAGAGCTTGGAGCTGGTCGAGTAATCCATAATTTCCTGGAATAACATTGTCTTCCGAGGAGAGAAAGCCAAAGACGTCTAGTCGGTAGTTGAGCGTGACAACAATGACGTCTTTAGCAGCAAGTGCAGACCCGTCATAGCGAGAGCCGGCCCCGATGTAATAGTTTCCACCGTGTATCCAAACCATGACGGGCAAAGGAGCGCTGTTTGTGCTGGTGGATGGGCTGTAGATGTTCAAGTTAAGGCAGTCCTCGCCACGGGTGCGATTTTCATAAGCCCGGCTGGTCAGGTAGTTTTGGAGACATTCGTTACCGAAGTGAGAGCCATCTCTGATACCAGTCCACTTCTCTGGTGGTTCTGGTGCGGCAAAACGTCTTTGTCCTGGGGAGATGTAAATTTTTTTAGAGTGAGCGCGTTAAAAGAAGCACATTAAAATTTATTGATATGAAATATACGGTACCCCAAAACAGCAATGGTCAAATGTTTTCCGCGCTGCGGAGCTAGATAGCTGCGAGGGACTGAGAAAGATGGAGAAACATAACGGACAACCTCTACACGGAGAACAAACTCACGTAGACGTGCGAGAGAAAGCAAGACAAAGGAGAAATAAATGAGGAGGAACTAGAGGGATAGACTCTGTTCGTGACGCCATTAGGGAAAAGGGCAAGAAGGGCATCAGAATACATTGTTCTTGCTGTTCCTAGCCATGGTCTTAATGGTTGCTCACACTGCAGCGACCGTTTCTTTACAAAATATGTACTGCTGAGGATATACGTGTGTGATTATGCTTTAAAATCTTTCCCATTTCTCCTCCTCCTTTACAGAGAGGAAATGTATGGGGGGCGGGGGATGGGGTGGGTTAAGGGTGGAAGTGACGTTGTTATCCAGACACTCACTTCATATTTTTAGATCCCAGGCTTTGATCCTTTATAAAATCTTATGCAACATTCTAGGACAGGGGGTGAGGGGGGGGGCGGTATGGGGGTCAATGCCGTCTGTTATATGATCTATTTTGTCCGAAAGCACTGCTTCATTAAAACAAAACAAAACAAAACAAAACCCCCCAGTATCTGTGGCGTAAGGATTATAAGGCACTTCGACTTAGCACACAGAGGTCGTGAATCTTTCATCACCCCACCCCACCCGACAACCTAAACCTTTTCTATTTAAACCTCCAATGTAAAGATATTTTTTCAGGACGTTTTAAATACCCCGCAATAGCTTGTGAATCGATTAACGTGTGAAGAGAATCGTTTTCGAGTTTCTCTATTTTCTGATAGGACGTTGTATCCCACAGGCCCGATTGGCCCGTGCACGCAGGGTCAAAACTTGGCGCTCATATGACTTTACACCGTAAAAGCTCTACTAAAACTTAAAAACTAAAAAGGGTCGAAACAAACGCCTCCTAAAAAAGATCTAAATTAAAGTAAATAGTGTCGACGGAGGGCAAGCATAAGGAAAATGAACACATCTATTTGTGTGAGCGGATTGCAGGTGTAAGGGGGCAGACAAGTACCTTCATGACCCAGGAGAGACTTGTCCAAGGTAGTGAAGGGATCATGGCATTTAAAAGCTCTTTCGGAAAAGAGACAAACCAATTTTTAAAAAAATGCAAAACGGTGACTTACCAACGGGTGGTTTAGCAAAAGGTAGGCCAAGAAATTGTAATATCTGAGTTCCATTCACTGTTGATAGCACACCACTTACTTCTCCGAACTGCGTTTTTACTGTTGAGGGCCTACGAAGAATGTCCGAAGTAACATTGCTAAGGAAAAGACAAAGCAAAATAACAAATAACGAATATAAAAAGGTTTTCATACTGAAGATTAAGTATGCCCATTTAAGTACACACAATGGTCACTTTTGTTCGACCACGTTTATATACCTGCGATGCCAAAGACCTGGATTGTGAACTTAAGATCATGACATTATAAAGGTGACCCTGGCCTTTGGAGGGGCATTGTCCACTGAGATAAGGATTGGTTGCTGAAATCATGGAAAGCTCTTGGTATTGTACAACTCTGCAAATCTTTCATAAAACTGTTTCACAACAGTGCAATCTATCCGAAAATCATGACTTTACTCTGTTTGGTCTGATATGGGCTTAACATTCCCGAATACACTGTGTGAGGTCTTTTGAGAATCGGGGACTCTGAACGTAACGTCCATCTTCGAGAGGACTAAGTCAAGAATGGGTGAGGAGGGTGGGGGGTTATAACGGTAATTTCTGAAGTTTAAAGCCCTCATAGACACAACTGAGGCCATTTGAGAGGTGGGCTTAGACCCTGTCTTTCAAGGCCAACCCGGGCAGAGAGAAAAAAAAAAACTTTTTCGCAAACACACAGAGATACTCGCTAAAAAGAAATATCCCCATTCGGGAATCGAACTCTACATTTTTGCAAGAGACGTCGAAGCACTTAACCGCTACACCACATATATCTGTGGGTGATCCTTGAAAGCTTCCGGAATAGCACATTATACATATGTTAAGAAATAACCTGTTCGGGACTCGAACCAGGCTCATCTGCATCCACGTTCAACATGATACTACGTATATAATGTGTTATCGGCGTACTCCTTCGGTTTGTTATAGGGTGTTCAGTAGGCACTCTTTTTTAAAGGGATTTTACATTTAATTTTCCGTGTTGCTACTTTACTCAATGTAGAAAAGGCCAATAATTAAAAAGGGTGACTAGTGACACTCCTATCGTCCTATCCAAGTAATGCACTTGACAGATCGAACTATTCAAATGATTGTAAACTTGAAAGTCAGGGACACAGTTTTTCGTATTTAAGATTTACTATTTTATAGAAACCACGATCTCGAACTTTCATTGACGAAGCTCCTTTCGGTCATTCGACAATGCTTGAAGACACTCTGTTATAGAGCGTAACTTTCTTTTTGTTCACACAGATTTTTAAATTCTGTTTTAATAATAATAATAATAATAGATAGCATTTGTATAGCGCATATCCCCGCTCAACAGCAGGCTCTATGCGCTTTACACTATATCATTACCCCAGCAGACCAAAGAACACTCCGAAACATTCTCAGCTTCCCGGGAAGCATACAGTGCGAGCAGCCGATTAAGCGCTCAAACACTAACAAACTGACAAGATCTTTCGCTGTCTATAGCCGGGTACCCATTCCCACCTGGGTGAAGTGAGGAAAATTCGTGTAAAGTGCCTTTCCCAAGGACACAACGTCGGGCCCTTGACGGGATTCGAACGGGTTGCGAGTCCGAGAGCCTTAAGGCAATCAACAATATGCATACTATGAAACATGCAAATTCGTGTTTTTGATTTTTGTACGATAGTTCAAAATGCTCTGCAACATTATCGTTTGCCTGCTGATGAGCGGAGATAATAATATGTTTTCCGTTACGTCCTTAAAAAAACTTATATTACCCACACATGTATTTATTATTTTTTAATTTAAAAATTGTAGCAGCTGTACTAGAATATCTACTCTCGATTAAGAGCCATTAAATTAATATTTTGCTAACGCGAACTGAAGTTAAGGGATATAACAGCTCCTTTCTCTTTAGGTCTACAGGAAACTGTGCTTTTGGCATTGTGGTACCCATCCCAGTTCTTGTGAAAGAAAAAAGAACTCGGAACTCAAAAGAAAGCTAGGATCAAGTCCCTCTTGCTGGGCAGGATGTCTTTCTCTTTCAATTACTATGAATGACGTACATGATATATCGCTAGGAGCTTTCAAAAGAAAGGAGTTGCGAGTGATTGAAAGATTTGAAAACGAAGGGAAACAAGGATGGAAGCTTGTCGTATGGCTCTGTAACGTCGTCCGTTTTCTATTCTGTCTCTCTTTGTGGCACGTTATCCAGGCGAGAGGAGTGCCGGATAAGCAATTAATGCCACAAGAATCGCATTTTACCACAGCCCAGACAGCTGACAATGCGGCAAAAACCTGGTATTGTCGTAAATCGTCTCTGGCAAGGTGACCAGAACAGAACAATACGAGAAGAAGAAGAATAATTTTACACAATGTAGAATAGCACGAGGGAGAGCGCATGCGATGAACAAAAGCCAGCAAATACTGGACAAAAGAAACCGAGTCTAGAAAGTGGGACGGCACGAGGCACCCACGCTTGAATGTTGAAGATTCTATTGGTGGGAACGAAATGGGATGGGTAGGCAGACACCAGATCCCAGAAGGAGAAAGAGCGGGTAGAGAGGAGGGCAAAGTTTTCTACGCATTTCCGCATTAACTAGTTTAATGGGGGCACGCTTACATACAATACCCTGTTTACAGGAGCGATTATGAGCGTTAAGGGTCCCGGTGGAGTGAGTTATTGCACTGACAGTGGTTTCCAATTAGAGAATGAACTCTGTTTTCTTTTTGCATTGTTGATGCGAAACCTTTAGAGTATGTACTCCAGGCTAGACAGAGGCCTACAGTACAGATAATCATCTTAACAATGGGTAGAATGTATTCAGCTGAATCATCCCACTGTTGTGCTAAGGGATTATTAGCTATGTTTGAATTAGGTTCCTTGCAACCATTTTTCCTTTATTATCTTTCTTCTTTTCGGATCTCTTGCTTTTTCGTCGGTATTTTTATTATATTAGTGAAATGTTTGTTATCGTGTCGACTGAACTTAACAAGCTACAGAAAGACGGTGTCTCTATTCGGCGATGCTTTGTCCTTAACAGTTCCTGTAAGACCAGAGTCTTGACTATGAGCCATGTGCTCTGCCTTTGATTGAACTAACCTCCTTTTTTTATCTTATGAGCGTTACATTTAAAGAATGCTATAGACTACCTTTCATTACCCCAACTCACAATCCAATACTTTTCTATTCAAACCTCCAATAGGGTCCCAGTGAAGGAATCAATTTTTTTTCAAAGGAATTTAAATGTCTCACTGTAGCCTCTTCATTTTCGTCTGTCCGCCAAAAAACAATTGTATCCCAGTTATGAATTTGCCACCCCATTTTTGGGCCTAACATTAAAAATTGCCCCCGCGCTCATATGACCTTATCCAGTTGCGAGCGCCGTAAAACCTCTACTAATAAAATTAATAATAAATATCACCCGGTGGATGCATGCACAGAATCACCAAACGAGATCTAATGATTTACATAAAACCAGCTTACACAATGCTCATTATGAGACAGCGACACCACCCTACCCCCACATACCAGTGTAGTCTTGTCGATTTTTATCCCAAGAACTTTCAGACATCTTCACGTGAATCTCAAAAAGCATTCAACTGTCTGTTGGGCTGTGTTTAATAGGCGTTTGTGAAAGTGTGGGGTTGGTGGAAATGGGTTAACTTTTTTATGTTTTAGATGTGAAGTCTCAAACTTCTGTTATTTTTTTACCTGTTTGAGGCGCACGTCAAAGAATACTTGTCGGAACTTTATACGGGCAGCCCACTACGGATGGGATCGGCCGATCGGCCCGATCGCTCGACCCGATCGCCTAAAAAACAAACGTGTTTGTTTTCAATTTCAGGCGATCGAGTCGGGCGATCGGCCCGATCCAGCCGTAGTGGACACTCCGTATTAGTTTGCAGTGACCTTCATTACTGGGCTTCTGGATTCTGTTGGTCATCCAACTTTTAGACTTGCATGCAAAGACCTGAGAAGATTAAACAGGTTATAGATTATCTTGGGGCTCTCGTGGCCTATGGGTTAAGGTGTTCGCCTCTCATTCAAAGGTTCGAATCCGGTTAGCAACCGAAAAAAAATTCCTTCTCTAAAATTGTATTCTTTCCCCTCCTTTCCTGCGCACAGACGAAAGTGAACAAGTCATAATATTGCTTGCTCAGTCCTGTCGCTGAAGACATTGTTCGCGCCACCTCTTATCTCAAAACAAGATAAAATAAAATGTTTCTGTTTAATCTTCACATGTCTTTTCATGCAATTCTACAAGTTGGATGACCAACAGAATATAAAAGCCCATTAATGATGGTCCCTAGAAACTATGGTTCCGAGACGTATTGTTTGATGTAACCCTAAGCCGGGTAAAATTTGAGGTATGATAGTTGCAAGTGTGTTATTTTTTCTTTAAGTTATAAACGAACTTGTATTACTTTTTGACTCACCCTGGCACATAGAACATGAAATATTGACTTATTTTGATCAACACCACACTTTAATTAACGCACACCTATGGAACACGATCCAAAAGAGGGTTGAGTACTCCTCGAGACTCACGTGGAGATGTCTAGACGGTCTCGGGATAAGATCGAAATATTGAGGCAGTGTGGGGTCGCTGTCTCAAAATGAGCAAGCTGTAAGCTTGGTTAGATCTACTGTTTATCATTTACTGAAGTAACCCTGTGGTTGCACGCAAAGGACGGTAATTAATGTGTGGCTCAAACAGAAGAACTTTTAAATTATTGGATCAAGATTTGTTTTCATTAGTTTGGTTGCTGGCCTACAAGAGTACCCTGTACTACCTTGTAAAGTTTCCAGCGGATTGGAAAATTAATATATGAACCAGACTTGTTAAAACGCAGGCAGCCGAAAGTAAAAAAGCCATAACTCTTTTTGCGCAACAGTTCACCTGCATGCGACTATAACGTAGAGAAAAGAAAGGTAGTATAATACATGTATATCAGTATATCAGTGATTCTCTCAGAGAGAGAGAGAGAGAGAGAGAGAGAGAGAGAGAGAGAGAGAGAGAGAGA